GAGGTTTTTCCTTCTCCACCTGCTCCAAAGCTTTTGCCAGCTACTTGAAACCTTATTGAAAACCCTGAAAGGCTCACTGTATTATGCTTGAGTTAACTCATTATCTAAGAGAATACGTTAGTGAAAAGGTCACAATTTGCATTATGTAAATAATTTTTTAAAAAAACCTTTCAATCATCCCCAGCCTGTCACTTAAACTCTGGAGTACCTTCCACCACCCTGGCCAGCAACCTAAGTAATAATATTTAAAGAATACCACTGTAATATTTACTTTTTTTATTATCAAAAAAGTGCTAGCAAACTGTCAGTTTTCTGTACAGTACATTGCAAAAATCCAAGTATATTTTTAACAACATTCAATGGTATTTTCACAAAAACAAACATCTAGGAATCTTTTTTACACTGCAAATTATAGCCTTTCTGAATAGCTAAGTATGATTCCGAGCAGCAAAGTCAGCAGTTCCTCTTCCAGTCAAAGTAGGGTATTTTTACTGCTTGGTAGTCTCTGAGTATCCAGATAGATAGAGTCTTTGTACATTTTTTGCATAATGCATAGCTAGGGGCAATTCCCTGTAACATTAATAGCCAAATCCATTTGAATGTGTCGAACCAAAGATGTCGGGGTAGTTTGATGCTAGTGATAAAGCCTCTCCATACAAATTAAGATCTACAAAAGAGCCAAAGAAGCAGCCATTAATTTCATCAGAACAATGAGAGTTCAGCTTTAATCTTAAGTCAGTTGATTGCCGATTGCACAGGCTGACTGTGGCAATTAGCAATTCATAACAGAGAACTAGAGCATTAATCAATAGCAGCAAATAGGAGACTGTTTAACACAGGTATAAAACGGCAAACAATTTAGTACTTGCAGCCAGCAAGTAATGAAACACCTTCGGGAAGAAATCCTCTTCAGACTAGGAAGTTGAATTGATATCCTGTCAGTTAACTCATCTTGACTCTTTAAAGGGCAGGCAGCTCTTTATGAAGCTAGAGTCGGATGTATTTTGTAACCTAAAGTCAGACGCAACTGCTATTGGCTGGTGTTAAAATATTAAGGGTTTGGTGGGTTTCAATGTCGCATTTTGGCTTTTAAATCTGGCGTTAACATTTATGCAACTGATCCCTGAACACTTGAAGTGATCCCACATTGCAGAAAAAAACACCTCATACTCATGCTTTTTTTGAATAACAAAAGAATGACAAAACAGCACATTTGTGTTCAAAGCTCTGAAGTCATTTTCTGAAACCTTGCACCTCCCTCCAGTCTCAAGAAAATTAATTTTAAATGCACCATAATCATGAAAGGTGAAAGTCATGACAAAATTTCCATGTACTTGGGGAGGATGGGTAAAAGGACAAATAAATTAGAAGTAGTTTCAGTTTAACAAATTTGACTTTGTGTTCCTTTGGCTTATACCCTTTTTTATCAAAATTATGTTTCTCTTAGAATAAATAGTATTATGAATTCTGCTTGAACCTACTTCTTAAGGGGAGTCTTGAAAACAAACACCCCTATTGGCTAAGACCCTTAAGGCCCCCTACCAAATGACTCTGAACTTCATTGATAAGAGTTAGGAAAATGAGTGAATCAACTGTCAGGTCAGTCTGATAAGTATAATGACCTAAATGGAACTTGATTCACTCAGTTTCTTAACCCTAATCAATGGAGTTCAGAGTCATTTGGTAGGGGTCTTAGAGGTCTTTGTTTTCAAGACAGGGCTAAAAGCGAAGCTCTAGTTAATAATACCCCTTCTTAAGCAAAAAAAGGTTCAATGAGAAACACTCACCAAATTCTTGATCATATGGAATGATTCTCTGACTTGATAATGAACAATCACGCTCAACTTTTCCAATAACCTCCACAGCTCCATGGAGCTGTTCATCAAGCTGTGTAATTTTAAGAAAAAAACAATTATTAGAGGTAAAAACAATAACAATTGCAACTCAATAATCAGCCAATACTGGTGAACTATGCTGTTAAAATGTTGTGATGAGTAAGAAGTAAGTAGTGGGAAAAAAGCTTTGATATGTAGCTTCCGCTAACTGGCTGCTGCGGTTTTCACATCAAATCATGAAACCTACAGGCTCTCCCAAGCTGACTTTAACAATTTTCTGATCGCTTGTCATGATCTTCAATTCAGCTCCATTGGAACTAATCTGTGGATAAAAAAATTTGTGTTTTTGAGTAACATCCCAAGAGAATTCTCATCAACTTCTAGATATTTTTCCTTTTAAAATGGCTCATCTTTACTTGTTAAATAAAGGGCGTATTATGGTGAGAGAAAAAGAGCTAATTTGGGCCTCTGAATGAAAAAAAAACTATTAAAAGGGAGTTTAACCGGGGTTTAACATATTGCCATGCACGTCATCTAAACACTGTTCATTGTGAACAGTTTCATGAAAGCATATGGCATAGATTAGGGAAGCATAATTTATTCATCTCCATAAAATAATCCACTTGCAAAGAGACCTGGATAGCCAATGATTTATTAAACCGAGGCTTCGGTAAGACTTTGTTTACAAACCATCCTTAAAAGTTATTTTTAGTAGAGGTGTTCTCAGCTCAATCCTGTAATCTAATACTCATCATGTGAACCCAGGGGGGGTACTCCAGAGTTCAAGGAATGGGGATGATAAAACAGAGACAAAAATCTAAACACCCCAAAAATCCCATGCAGAATTTCCAAACCTTAACAAATTGGGTTGTACTTTACTGAAAAAAAAAATGCGCCTGGGATACATGGACACTACCATGAATCTTCAGATTCTTCTGAATACTGCCAAATTAAGCCATCCAGAAAAGTACTTCCCAAATTTTCTCACCCAAAAAAGTCCTGGAATTGAAAATTTTGACGCCTCAAAAATCTCTTGATCTTCTCTGTCACTTGAAATCCGGAATTACTAGTGCCCCCCCCCCCTCCCCATCCCCCCCGCATGTGAGTGAAGTGTCTGGACTAAGAACACTTCCAAAGGTAATTCCAACATGTCAAATGTGAGTCTTAAAACCTTTGGACCTCTGTTTCATTCCATTACTGTCAAGAACCAGTTTGCAAACGTCCCTTGATGTTCATGGAATAAGTAACTTAAAATACTGTAAAATTCCGAAAATAAGCCCTGGGGCTTATATTTTTCAAAGGCCCTTTTTGAGGGGCTTATTTTTGGAGGGGCCTATGTTCGGATGGAAATTTGCATTTCAAAATCGATTGGGCTACCTTGTGGTGGGAAGGAAATTTACCATTTTTGCTTTGTTTTACTTTGTTTTCGAGGGCAAATTCCAAGTACAAGCCCCCCGGGGAGCTTATATTTGGAGGGGTGATTTAATGTAGGGTTTTGCGTTACGATTTTGGGGGGCTTATATTTGGAGGGGCTTATTTTTGGAATCTTACGGTAACTAAATTTGCCAAGTTTGACAGTGATATGTCATAAGCAAGACAAAGCTCTGCAGAGTTGCAAAGTTTTACAGACAAGGGTGGGAAGGGGGACAAATTTTCCCCCCTCCCCCTCCGTCCATGAGTTATTGTTCTCTGTGCATGATAGGGTATAATTTTACACCTGAACTGCTTTTTTTACCACATCTGCAGAAACTTCGAAGTGAAAATCTCCTTCAGCATCGAACACAGAAGAAGATCGCTGGCGGCACGAGCGCTAGATTGACGACTAAACGAAATGCCGCACGTAGGTTTTAAGTTTAGTAAACACCATTCAAACCCTTTCATTCACTACAAAATTCACTGAAACACAAATGTTATTGACGTCTAAATGTAAAATCGATCGAGCAGCAAAATTTCAACACGAGTGTTCAACAAGAGAATAATTTTTTACACTTCACCTCTGTTACGTTTCCTACAAGACAAACCAGCCTTCCAGAATACTGCGGTAGCATTGAAGCATTCACCCTTGGTGCTTCCATTGCAAAAACTCCAAAAATAATTCAAAATGACAGTCAAAATAAAGAAAAATTTCGAGATTAGCGAAAGAAATAATGCAATGAATTCTGACACCTTCGCGCGTTTTTGCCTCGCCCTAGTCTTTCTCGATCAATTCGAAGTGATGGTTCCCAGGGTGATAATTGAATTCTATTTTTGGAGCCAACGAGAGTCGACAGAGTCCCACGTAAAATTCTTGGAAGATGATGGTCTTCTACATCGTCATCAGTATAAATTCTTTAAAATAAGTAGCATGTAGTAATGCTGCAAGGTGCTTGTCACGGATATGAGTTTTTTATCTGGACTTTATTCGAAAATTTTGGGAGCAAACTCGAAGAAAACTGAGCAGACTTGTTATAACAGCGCGTCTGGAACTGGGTTTACAGAAGATTTCGACAACGAGGATGGGTTTGTGTTATACACTGCAGAACAGAACAAACGTTGCAAGGTATGGACTACCTATTTTAACCGTGTTTCGTAAGAGCAAGTAATGCCAAGTTGCTGGAATAGCTCATCATGACAAACCATAAATCTTGTAGTTATTGTTTTGTATGGTACCGTTGTGCTAACGTGAATTTGAATTAATACGTCGAGGTTTATATGTTTAGACATTTTTATAACTTAAGTAAGGTAAAATTTTTCCAGTTCTTAAAATTAGTTAGTGCATTTTCATCTTATCAAAAGAATCGTATCTTTTATTAAGCGACTTGTCGTAGCCTTCCTTATTTGTGACGTCACACTTATTACGTTGCAAGCAATCCCCATATCCCACTTGCACATCTCCCATAATGCACCTTATTCGCCTCCAAAAATTTCGTATAGCTATTGATTTTCATTTCTCAAGAGAAAGAGAAATTGAAAACAATGAGAAGAGAAAACGAAAACAATCCAAGAGAAATTGAAAACAATGCTTATGCAAAATTTTGGAGGGTAAATAAGGTTCACTGTGAGAGATGTACAAGTGGCGTATTGAATGAGGAGTTTATAGAGTGACCAAATGGAATGCTTGCTTTAAACTGTGTAGCAAGGCACAGAATAAATGCAAGGTAGCCTGGGACCAGGCTCCGCATTGGGGGGAAAAGGCAAAAAACATTGGTGAGTGATGCAAACCAAGAGGTAATCTGGGAAGGGAAAAGGGTGGCGGAGCCTGGAGACATGCCTTTGATGCCGCCGATCCACCCTCCAGTAATTAACTTGTCGTTGACATGTCAACACGTCATGCTCTCATCATGGATGTCAGCGTGAGCTTATTATGTCGGTTTTGTAAAAAATATTTGAATTTAAAATGAAGTAAGCTTAAGCGAAGAGAAATAAAGACGTTTCAGAGGAAAATGCGCTGCGTGTGACTGGTGAAGAACACAGAGAAGATCGGAGTAGATTCTCAAGAAGATTCCTCAAGTTAGCAGTGCGTGTCATAATCCTTAGTCCTTAATCCTACAAGAATGTTAGTTTCCAGAAGTAAATTAAAATCATCATCATCATCATCAGTCTTTATTTATACACGAAATTGTATCACGTTTACATGGTCTTTCTAGGAACTGTGTGTAAAATTAAACTGAAATACTCTAAGGATTTCCTTGACTAGAAAGTTAAAAATACAAAAACTTGTATTATAATAAGAGTTACAATGAGTCGTGGGGTATTAAGATAATTTTTGCCATGAAATGAAGTTTCAAAAACATTTAAGCTAGGCAGTTTTCTAATCTCTGAGGGAATCTTGTTCCACAGAATGGATCCTCTGTAGTGTAGGTTCCCTTTTGTAGACTCAGAGTTTGGGTCTGGGGATGCAATATTTTAACTCAGAATTTCTAAGATTGTGTGAGTGTACATTTGAGGTGTTGGTAAAGATCCGCCTCAGATATGATGGGGAAAGGTCATTATGGGTTTTATACACTATCACAGCCAACTGTTTAAGTCTTACATTTTCTAACCTTTCCCAGCCAAGCTCATCTAACAAAACCCTTGAGCGAGCCTCATAATTAGAAAAGGTGAGAATTCTAGCAGCCTTAGTCTGCATCTTTTGAAAATTGGGTGGGGAGGGGGAAATAGTTCGCAACTGTTCTCTTCCGTCTTTGCATACCTTACACAATCCTCTAAAATTGAATTGAAATCCCTCACTAGAGACATGAACTATTGCAGTTTCAAAAGGGGTTGATTTTGCTGCACATTTGTACTCTGTTAAAAGTTTGCTGTTAAACAGATGGTATTTTAGCTTGTTATACAGCACAATAATACAAACTTTAAATCAAATCATATCATATAAAATTATTGCTTAAGATATAATATTGGTATAGGATTTTGTTAATAATCCAACTTCAGAATTAATTACATGTCATCGTAGCTGATCATGGGAACGATAAGTTCATTGAAACTAACTTTTTGTGTCTTTGGCAGCAGACTGAGTCAGTTCCAGGAACCACAAACTACAGATTGTATGAAAATTTACAACAGAGCTGCCCCTACCCTCCTACAGGTAAGTAAAAATTTTTGCTGAAATATTAAAAGTAGTGGAGTTGAAACTCATGTAAGCAAACACCCTTGGACCAGAAAACTGTGTTAATGCTTAGAGGATCTGTTTTTGTAACTTTTTAAGCCCCAAAAAACATAATTTATGCAGATTCTCCAGACTAATTTCCTTACATTTCCTTTAAGAATTAGTTGAGAGAATTTAAAAAAAAAGTTCAAAGAATTTTCCCTTTGTTCATCATTTTATTAACTCTTGTGACCTTTCCTCTTTATTACATTATTATTGATGTTGTTCACAGAAAATTGATGTTGGTCAACCCTGGGACTTCAAGGGTTGAGTGAAACGCCTCCAAAAATTTCGTATAGCTATTGATTTTCATTTCTCAAGAGAAAGAGAAATTGAAAACAATGAGAAGAGAAAACGAAAACAATCCAAGAGAAATTGAAAACAATGCTTATGCAAAATTTTGGAGGGCAAATAAGGTTCACCGTGAGAGATGTACAAGTGGCGTATTGAATGAGGAGTTTATAGAGTGACCAAATGGAATGCTTGCTTTAAACTGTGTAGCAAGGCACAGAATAAGTGCAAGGTAGCCTGGGACCAGGCTCCGCATTGGGGGAAAAGGCAAAAAACATTGGTGAGCAATGCAAACCAAGAGGTAATCTGGGAAGGGGAAAGGGTGGCGGAGCCTGGAGACATGCCTTTGATGCCGCCGATCCACCCTCCGGTAATTAACTTGTCGTTGACATGTCAACACGTCATGCTCTCATCATGGATGTCAGCGTGAGCTTATTATGTCGGTTTTGTAAAAAATATTTGAATTCACGATGAAGTAAGCTTCAGCGAAGAGAAATATTAAAGGACATTTCAGAGGAAAATGTGCTGCGTGTGACTGGTAAAGAATACAGAGAACATCCGAGTAGATTCTCAAGAAGATTTCTCAAGTTAGCAGTGCACTTCATAATCCTTTTTTACCTACAAGAATGTTAGTTTCCAGAAGTAAATTAAAATCATCATCATCATCATCATCAGTCTTTATTTACACACAAAATCTTCCTAGGAATCGTGTGTAAAATTAAACTAAAATACTCTAAGAAACTACTTGACTATAAAGTTAAAAATACAAAAACTTATATTATAATTATAAGAGTTACCATGAGTCATGGTGTATTAAGATAATCTTTCCCATGAAATGAAGTTTTAAAAACATTTAAACTAGGCAGGTTTCTAATCTCTGAGGGAATCTTGTTCCACAGAATGGATCCTCTGTAGTGTAGGCTCCCTTTTGTAGACTCAGTTCTGGGTCTGGGGACACAATATTTTAACTTAGAATTTCTAAGATTGTGTGAGTGTACATTTGAGGTGTTGGTAAAGATCTGCCTCAGATATGACGGGGAAGATCATTATGGGTTTTATACACTATCACAGCCAACTGTTTAAGTCTTACATTTTCTAACCTTTCCCAGCCAAGCTCATCCAACAAAACCCTTGAGCGAGCCTCATAGTTAGAAAAAGTGAGAATTCTAGCGGCCCTATTCTGCATCTTTTGAAAATTGGGCGGGAAGGGGCAAATAGTTCGCAACAGTTCTCTTCCATCTCTGCATACCTTACACAATCCTCCAAAATTGAATGGAAATCCCTCACTAGAGACATGAACTATTGCGATTTCAAAAGGGGTTGATTTTGCTGCACATTTGTACTCTGTTAAAAGTCTGCTGTTAAACAGATGGTATTTTAGCTTGTTATACAGCACAATAATACAAACTTTAAATCAAATCATATCATGGTTAAAATTACTGCTTAAGATATAATATTGGTAAAGGATTTTGTTAATAACTCCAACTTCAGAATTAATTACATGTCATCCTAGCTGATATTGGGAACGATAAGTTCATTGAAACTAACTTTTTGTGTCTTTGGCAGCAGACTGAGTCAGTTCCAGGAACCACAAACTACAGATCGTATGAAAATTTACAACAGAGCTGCCCCTACCCTCCTACAGGTGAGTAAAAATTTTTGCTGAAATATTAAAAGTAGTGGAGTTGAAACTCACGTAAGTGAACACCCTTGGACCAGAAAACTGTGTTAATGCTTAGAGGATCTGTTTTTGTAACTCTTTAAGCGCCAAAAAACATAATTTATGCAGATTCTCCAGACTAATTTCCTTACATTTCCTTTAAGAATTAGTTGAGAGAATTTTAAAAAAAGGTCAAAAGATTTTCCCTTTGTTCATCATTTTATTAACTCTTGTGACCTTTCCTCTTTATTACATTATTATTGATGTTGTTCACAGAAAATTGATGTTGGTCAACCCTGGGACTTCAAGGGTTGAGTGAAGTTTAAAATGTAGTTTTTGTTTGTCTCTGGGACCTAGACTTGAACTCTAGACATTCTCTGTCTCTACTGCTCTATTTTGTGGACATGATGCTCTAGAAAAACATGCTGTTTTGAGTTTTCTCAAAAACGAAGCAGAAATCAGTAAAAATATATGAAACAATGTTTATCACGTCAACACAAATCATTCTGCCAAAAATGAAAATCGATCTAGTAAACGGTCACAAGCACCCATTTCTGGGAAACCCTTTGATTTTTACATCTTTGGAGATTAAACACACACTATAAAAATGTTCAAATAAAAAATACCCGTCAATGAACACTGTTTAAACATCAATGATCTCTTTTCCATTATTCAGAATCACCCTCATACACAATAGCAGCAGCACAAAAGCAAGTGCCTCAAAGAAGAGAAACAACTTTTCTTACAGTATCAGATGTTCCTTTCCAACTGTCGAAAGAACTTCAGAGGGTGCTACAACTACATCAAGGGAGCTTGGAACTCTCAAGGAGATCTTCACCGAATATTGAACAATATCAGTATAACTTTACTTTAGAAAGAGATGTTCTAAGCTCAAATGAAATGGCTTCAGTTGGCTGACATGTAGAGTTTGGAGTGTCATGCTTGTTACAGTCAACTTGCCTTGGGGACACCTTGCTAATAATGGCATCCCAATAATGTGTTCAGCAGCCAAATTATAGTGTTGTTTGACTCAAACAGTCTTGTGCTATTATTATATTTTTTATTTTTTAATAATACTAATTACTTGCTCTCCATCTGTAAGATGATTCTAAGCAAGTGGCCAGCAACCTGAACTATAATAGTGTTACTTTAAAAACTGGTCAAAACCGGTCACCCACAAGGCGTGGAGTGTTACACCCCCCACTGTTATGGGGCTGATTATTAAATAATCAGTAGTCACTATTGACTTTTGAGAGGGGTGGTGGGTTATTTCAAAAACTGGCTTACAAACTTGAAGCAAAAACAGAATTCTTGTGTGAAGTTATTAAAACTATTCTACACCAAAAGATTGAAAAAAAAAAGGATCTCATCCTAAGCCTGTAGAAACTTCTTGCCTATAGTTGCCCTTCCACTGGAAAATTTTAAACATTTTTTATCCTTCATCTCTTGGGAACAGTGGTTCATGTCTGAAATAGGTTAGGGAAACTCACCTATTTTAGTCTAAAGTAGGGTAGGAGTTTCCAGAAAATCCATATAGCCATACTCACAATAATATTATTGCCATGTACAAAGCTTGGGTGGCCTGTGGTGTAACTCTCCAGACCAGTCAAAAAATAATGTACTCTGTCTCCTTTGGTGGCTTATTGTTATTTTGCTAGTGAACAAGAGCCACACTTAGGTGCAGTGTATAAGTGTATACATGATAATTTTGATGATGGTTAAATTAGGTCTGTTCTAATTCTTAGGCATTTTTTTATCAGACTTTGAATGACAAAACAGTCTTGTTGCATCGTAACTGTTTTATTGTACATAGGTTACTTTTATTGGTATACAATATATACTAGGTAAATAAAAATTTAGCGGAAGTTCCACCATCTCCTTGAGTTGCACAATCCAGTGACGGGATGAAATTTCGAGTGAATGAAATGAATTTGTGATGTTTGGTGTTATTCAAAAGTCATCCGAGGGTTCAGTCCAATAAAACTTTAACAAGGTATTATTGTTTTCAGACTCCAAATCAATAGTTTCACTTGTAAATTATACTTGTAAAAGTTTCATTGAATTGAGCCCATGAATGTTTTAGGTGATTCCTTAGTTTTAGGCTGGGAGACTTTCCTTCCCCTTCTCATCCCCCTTGAAATGAAAGGTTTACCGTCATCTTAGAGTACGAGTAGTCCACCTTTTTCCTCAGGGATAGTAGAAGGAGCGAAACGCAAGCGCGCGTGAAAATCACCCCACGCGAGAAAAGGCGACACTTTTCACGCACGCTCGCGTTTCGCTCGCTCTGCTATTCCTGAGGAAAAATGGGGGAATACTCGTAGTCTACCGTCATCTCGCCACCAAGAAGTCGACTCACCGCCAACCAACTCGCCACCACGAAGTCTAATCGCCTCCGAGTAACGATTCTGCCTTAATCGACGTGTTTACCCACCTAGGATTTCTTACTTAGAACTAGTATTTTTACTTCCTCGCAAAGCTTATTCGAATTTGATTACAGAGTTATTACTTGGTGGCGTTAATTGGCTACGAGTCGACTTATTGCTTGCGACTTCGTTGGTGGCGAGATGACCGGTTACCAAAAGAAACTTTAATACGTCTTTGAGCAAGCCCCAGCTCTCTCTTCTCACATTCCCCGGCCCCCGCCCCCATCGAAGTTGAAAGCTTACTTGCTCTAGGATAATAAATATTGTGCTTTATTCTGAAATTTATAATTTATGACATTCAGTGCAAAGACACCATATGAAAAGCTTTGATAGCTTAATCTGTTCGGATCTTTTTGCTTAATACTTGATCGGCGGAAAATTTAGCGAAAAGAACTTTATCTCGTGAATTCCACACCTGGTTTTGGTTTTCACGTTTCCGAAAATCTATCCTGGCCTTACTTCCTATTTACAGGAAAATTTTCTCTCTGAGTACCGTAAAAGGTGCTTTTGAACCAAGGACGTTCCAGTTGAAAAAAAATATGCGTTAAACGCATAGGAGAAATTTTGGCCGCGACTTTCTTAAAAGCTGTTGATTCGTTCTAGTATTGATACTATTTATCAGTTGTAAATATTTCAATAGCAGTGCCCCCTCAGAAAAGTATGTATTGCTCCGCCTCTAGCGATCTCGCTTATGGAGGGGAAAAGACACTTCTATCTCCATTCTCTTCTGTATGGACTAAAATATTGAGTATTTGATTTATGATGGGTTGATGACCTTCTGTGGACAGTAATGATTCTCAAGAATAGACTTGAACTCGGAAAATAATGGGCGCTTTCCAGTGAACAAAGAAATTCCGGAAGCCTACGAACTTAGTTCCAGTTTGCTGCTTCTATTTCATGCGGAGAAAACTCAAAAGCGACAACCAGAGTACCTATAAAGAGCCTTAACTTACCAAGTCTTCTCCTTGTTCTTTTAAAATAGCCTTAGTATCAGGCCTTCCTTAGGAGCAAGGCCGGGGAGAGGAGATTCTTTTCCCGTCGGCTTCTTTTTTTCCCCTCTCCCACTCTGGATAGTTTGTAAACGACAGTGAAAACCATATTCCATTTTGTCCCATCTTTCGTTATTGGTAAAAAGAAAAGGGAACTCTTGCTAATCAAAAGGATTTTTCTTAACGTTCTTCAACCGAATCACGCTGAAGAAATTCGCGGGATAAAATGTACTGTTCTCAATCTTAACCTCTGGTACGCCGAATAACTTGGCTAAGACTATTATTTAGATTTAATCCAGTGTAAGTCGGGAAACATTCTCATACTAAAATGAACTTTTTTTAGACGGGAAAGGATCCCGAAATCGGGCGGTTAAGGTTAGAGGTTGACTGTTTCAATCAATTAAAAAAAAAAACTTCAAATTCTTCAGGGGGGCTGCTATACGTGTATCAGTGTTTGGGTGTCCATTCAAGTCAATCAACTGAAATGAAAGCGAAAGTTAAACTGCGATGTATTTTGAGCCATTCTTAGTATCCGACACATGCAGGAGGACAGAGTGACTAAAGGCTTATTTGTCTAGACTGTAGAGTCTCGTTAACTCTTGACGCGTTGGGAGAGACAATTTTTAAAATCTGAATCTACGACTGATCTGATCAATATGTGTATACATTCTTAAGGCCGACTCCAGTGTCTTAGTGAACTAAGCATATAATTTAGAATCATTAAAACAAAAACAAAACCTTCGTGCTTACACCAAAAGCTATGAACACCTATCCGGTGTGACTCTCCACGGCTTTCGAGATTAGCGCGGCGCAGCTAAACCCCATTACAGAAATCGCACTAGCCTGCGAAAACAACCGCTTCTCTTCGCTCCTCGCCGCTGGGGAAGTTTCGCGCGAAAGGTCTCCAGAAGCGAGGAGCGAGGGGAAACGGCTGTTTTCGCAGTCTAAAATCGGGCCGAAATCACTGTTCGTATGTGTGAACAGAATCCCTATCCGGCGCAAAAACTTCCCGGTATAGTGTAGTCTGCTACACAGCCGTTTTTAGTGTGTTAACACGCAACGCTCCTGCGTGAGGACACTAAAAACGGCTGTGTAGCAGACTAAGTATAGTGTGAACTTAACCGGAAACAGTAGTGTGATTTAAAATCAATTTTACAGCAAGCGGCGAAAGGCAAATTCGAGATGACAATTTCTCAAATTAGGGAAGGACAGAAAAAAACTCTGCAAAATTAATCTTATTTTTGAACCTGAAATGAAATATATTTTTTTTCTAAGTCAGGCAATAAACGGTTAGTGAGGAAAAATTTGGTTACGTTATAAAACTGGTATTTGTCTACCAATTATTCACTTCATATTAAAATTTAACAACCATCAAATCCAATATTCTTCAATTTTCTAAAATTTTGAATACCCCCGCTCCCCTTAATTTTTCTATATTAAAAACATTCAAAAAATCATTCAAAAATTCTCCAAAAAACACTGAACCAAGGACTCCAAATTAATTGAGTCATGTTTCGATTGAATGAAATCTTGGCTAGATATTTGGGGAAAAGGGCGGAAATAAACGAAAAAAAAATCCTTTTAACTCTCCTACTTAAGCAAGGAAGACGGCAATGGCAACGAGAATGGCAAAAAAGCAATAGGTTTAGATTGGCAAAGCAACAACTTTCCACGTGCACCACGCTTTTTCAGTGTAGATTTCTTTGCCGTCGCTGCGCAACTAAGACGCGAAAATGTTTATTTTCACGTTTTGTGGAGCACGAGACATGCAAAGACATGTATTTATCATGGGTTATGTAACCTTTTCTTTGGGGTGTTACATGGTATGCTGTTACAATTGCTTCATTAGCGGTAGGCTATATATATTCGAGTTGTTCTCATTTATATTCATTCGCGATTGTTTTTCTTGCTGTAATTTTTTACATTTCCGAGTTTTCATTCTGTTTGTTGTATTATTTCCATCCATTCTGTTGATGAAGGCATAATAAAGAGGGTCGCACACGGCTCGTGTTGACACACCCCAATTAACGTTGCTTGTTACAAGATAAATGTTTTATATTCGTTTGAGCGGGGTAGCGAATTAGAATATAATTTTTTTTCTTTTCCCAGCAGCCGTCTCCTCGAGCTGTCGCAAGCTCCCAAGAGAGACGTCGTCACAGCGCAAGTAGACTACTGAATTCTGTTTCACATGTACATGATGCGAAGCTCTCCCATTGACTCTTGTACGTAGCCTGTAGTCTCGTCTTGAGGAGTTCGATGACACTCAATGAAGGTAACAAAACACCAAGTCTGTTTTTTTTGTATTTTTTCCAAATTGCTGCGAAAAAGATTTGACATGCAGCGAAACTACTTGCAACGAAATGGCAAACTTTGTAGCGAAACGAGCGGTAACCTTCTTAATTTCTAGAGGCCCGGGTTTTCGACCTTTGGACAGGATTATCCAGCGGATAAATTATTATCTAGGTGATAAGTACTAGGGAAACCAGTTGCACTATCCAGTAGATAGAGATGAAAAATCCTGACGTGGATACGACCATACGATTCACGATATCAAGACGTCTCGGCTCTCAACCTCGTTCCCAGGGTTCTCTCCTACCCGCCCTACGGAGCGAGAGAGGGCGGGTAGGAGAGAACCCTGGGAACGAGGTTGCTTGCCTCTAAGTCCCGCACTTGCCGCAAAACTTTGTATTTAGAATCTCTTTACAATGACAAATTCATTTTATCAACTCAATAAAACCAAATTCATGCAGCAAATTTTAAATCTCTAATGTAGGCCTCATTCGTGCGATTCCTGTCCCGAAATGTCAGTTCCTGCGGGATTCTCGGGAAGCGGGTATTTCAGTGAAAGCAAAATTATACCTGGATTTGGGGCCATTTCGGTCAGGATTCAGTACCACTTGATAAGATACCTCATTTGCCTGGGTAATTACGATATTTTACGTAGGGCACAAATTATTAGGTCTGGTCAGCAGCCCATAACCCGGAGGGTCTAACTTCCATACTGCACCTATGCAACGGCATTTTCACAAGTAGGTTTATTTTTAGATAAGCTTTTCCCGCGAATTGCTTTCGAAAAGCCAATCACTAGCAATTGCGTCCTTAATGATAAACTTTTAATACGTAACTAGGACAACTCCTTCACACTGAAAAAAAAAACACATAGCGGACACACGTGAGGAATCTTCAGAGGAGTCTTCTGACAGTACTTCAAGCGACAATTTCAGTATTTACACGGAAACTAGCAGTTCAGTGCAAGATTTGCAAAACCTAGCCAGGACGTCTACTTCATCGACGACAACGCATAATTCACGCCTACGGGATTAAATCGAAATAATCTTCGAAATAGCCGACTGTGAAAAGGTCCAAGCGAGCTACTAACAGTCTAAACGACGATCAAATGCAGGAATTGACCTCGTGGAACAGTTATCTAAAAATAAACTCACTTGTAAAAACGCCGTTGCACTAATTTATGGCAGTTGACGATCCGGGTTATGGGCTCCTGGTCTGGTCTGAATCCAAGACCTAGAACTGAGTCTCAGAAAGGAATAGAGAAGAGCGTGTGACGTCACGTTACCATGGTAGCAAAGTTTCTGGATCTCCACAATCTTCCTTGACAAGGACAGAGTAGGGCCATTTATACGAGGAAAAATAAGACGCGTCTTACATAGGACGCGTCTTAAATAAGATTCGAACTTTCCGCATATACGGCACATTTCGTCTAAAATAAGACGCCGCTTAGCTAAGACGCGTCTTATTTTAGATCAGCCCTTAACACCAGTTCTTAGATAAGACGCGTCTTAGCTAAGACGAGAAAAACGTCGTATAAATGACCTTCGCGTCTCAAATAAGACGCGAACGCATAGTACGCATGCGTTAATTTTTGGCGCGCCACGTTGGATTGCCGTTGCTACGGGCAACATTCGCATGAAAGCGAGTCAAGAACAGAAATAAGACGCTAACCATTTAAACGAGCTGTTCTCGTCTTAGATAAGACATGCTCGTATAAATGGTCTAGTTCGCGTCTTATTTAAGACGCGTATCATTTTTCCTCGTAATGGCTCTAATGTTCTCCTTATCAGGCGGTAACCGGTAAAATTTACCTCCTGAAGCAACACTTCTTACCGCCCGCAATGGCCTGAAGGTTTACTAAAATTAAAGAAGTACTTTTAAAAAGTACACAAGTTGTGATCTAATCCAATTATCACACACCACAGGAAAATGAATGATTGTATGGACTTACTGAAGTATACACAGCTTTCAGTTCTTTTTATGTGCCACACATTTGGAAAGAGAACATTAAAGACACTATTGAAATCAGTCGTTTTAATTTGTAAAGCAGGTCTTACATTCAGGGAATGACATTTCTGAGAACTTAGCTCCTAAATTTACCAGCAAGAGCGCGGCCATTTCCCGCACTCCACTGCCCGCCTGTCCCCGGAAACGTACGCCTCTGTGATACATATTTTTTGCCTTACCGGCTGTGAGCAAAAATTTAGGGAGAACACTGAGAGACAGCCACTTGCATTGTCAAATGATGGGAGAAAATTATGGGCTACAGTTTTGTTTCTAAGTGCAATCATACCAGGAAAGCCATGCATGTCAATTTTTTGTGTTTTTCTGCCACATTTGCAGAGCAAGGGTTTGTTGAGATCCAGAAATTTTGCACCATGGCAACGCGACGCAAGGACTTTCCCTCTCCGTCGGCGGAAACAGGTCTTTGGGTTCAATTTGTGCCCAGAGGCTGAATCAGGCTAGGACCACGGGACCAATTATAAGTTAATACTTTGAAATTCAAAAAAATCTTGTGAATTTACATTGCACGCGAGCCCTGAACATTCAGGTATTGAAGGACTTGAAAGCCAAATAGAAAAAAATACTTGTTGACAAATATGCCAGGTTGGTTTCGGAAAGCTAACAACTACAAAGTCAACAAATGCTCCGGAACCGTAAACTTGCGAAGAAAATCATTTGCAAGTCTTTTGAGAAACGAACTTCAAGATTTCAACGGATCATTTTATCCAAGTGAGATAATCTCCTCATAAAAGCAACCACACATATTCCTTTTCACTCATTCCCTGTCAAAGCACATCAGCCGGGACGTCTCATAAACAAGACCTTTCGGAAGCAAGCATGATCAGATCTTGGCATTTGGGGTGTTCTCGTTTACTGAAGATGATGTTGGCGTACGGTGTTAGATCTAGTTATTTGTTTTTGTTGTCTGTTTAATTTTCATTTCAATTGATAACCATATCATTTGGGTAACAATTCTTACATGTTCTTAGCGTAGTTTATGGCTTAAAAGGTGGTTATAGCCAATTAAGCCTCCACTGAGCATTTTGGAAAACTGAGAAAAGGATTTTTCAGAAACGTTTTCGTAGATTTTCTACTCGAAAAAAAGTAATTTTTTGCATGATATCTAGTGACTCCCCATGATCGTCAGCTACAAATTTCCGTTTCTGCTGTGAATTGTAAGTAAAAAGATGTCTCGTTGATCAATGGCTAGTGTTTTGAATCATTATTTCCTTTTTAATTTCCAATTTTACAAATTTGGAGCAGTTTGGAAACGAAATCCTCAAAGCATCTCCTGTCGACAGCCTCAAGGAAGAGCAAACGAGGCACTTTCAGTTCCCTTTCGGATACAAATGTTCGGTAAATGTTGCAAAACCATTTAATTTTTTGTTTCCAAACAACTAATGTCTTGCGTGGAAACGGCTCTTCCTATACGGATTTTTCAATCCCAACTACAAGAATACTGATTTCACATTTTGTATAAATATTTTCTTTCTGTGCTGTTTATTACATGATGACAACAAGAAATCCGTGTTTACAGAAAAAAAGAAACATTTAAACGAAATGTATGTAGGTTTTGGCATCGTTTTTCATTTATGTGCAAATTCCGTCCGCTGTATTGTTTCCCATTATAAAAAGCCCAAATAAAGCTAATCGAACGTAGAATGTGCCACGGGTATTTCGAGAACTTCAATCTTAATTTCCGTCTTTTCGCCGAGAGATGACGCTTCGAATGAGTTTGAGCTGCCAAAGTTTATCCGGTATCACTTTAGAACTTTTTTTTTCGATAGCATATATATTTAGCTGACATTGTTGATAAGGTGAAATGTGAAAGAAGAGATGACTATGGAATTATTGCGGGCCGGATATTACAATTTTGGCTTGGCCAATTCATTCAGCTTGCAACTTGATTTTAATCAACTCTAAAACGATTCTCGTCCAAAAATAATACGAAACTTGGATCGAGATTTGATGTCGCGAAATGAAACCCGATTAAAAGAAGAAGAGAAAACATAGTAATAAAAGGAAACTGAAAATTGATGACGATTTTCTGTGCTGAAATAGTTTGGTTTCTGTAATATTGAGATGGTCTTTTCAGAAGAGAAAAGTGGTCATTTTCTTAGCCAGCTGTAATCCCTTTGTTTGATCGCCACACGACGGCAAAAGAAACAAAATTTTGATAGCAATGACACGAAAGAAGAGCGTTCTTTTAATCCCAATGAATCATTTTCGACGATATTTATGAGCTTTTCTGCACGATAAATCCAGTTTTTAATTAAAATACGACAGCCACACTTGCTCGTCATTGGTCGCTTTTGTTCTCGGATGACGTAACGTGTTTTATGAATGGGGCTAAGGGATGGACTTATCAATCAATTCAGTTGGCTGAGTCGCATGCACGGAGTACTATACGAAACTGGAGTATTTAGTAATAGCAAGTCCAAGAAGGAACTATCGAGTCTGACGCGACCATTGACCAAGCTGAGCTCGACCTTAGCTGAAATCCTGTATACAGCCAAGGAAACGATTCGTTATTCTTTTGGTAAGCCTGACATACGGTTAAAAGAAGCGATTTATTGTTAGCGCGCATGCAGCACGAGTGTTTGTACATATGATTTAGGCGGCTGAACGGATTGAGGTGAAGGTAAATTTGGGCCGAATGGTTCCTACGAAATATGCAAAATAATCTTCTTATTTCAGTCGATTTAATAGTTGATAGGGAAACGCGGCAGTTGCAACTCAGAATGGCAAATGAACTAATGCAGATCTTCTTGCCTCGTACTAATGAATTTTGGTTTATTCTTTTATGCTAATTTGAGTTCGGGTTAACGTAACATTATGGCCACTCTAATTCATGTTCTTTCTCTGGGCCATAACTAAAATATAATGAAAAAGAAATCATAGAATTCCAACTGATTTAATTCAACACCAGATGGCAAATCACACAGTAAAAAAATGAATAGTGATTTTTTACGTAAAGAATTTCGCTTCCAGTCAGTTTGACGAAAATTGCCTTTTCAGTTCCGTGACGTCACAGAAAAACCGAGTTCGATCCTTCAATGGCAGCTGTTAGCCGTGTAACGTCAGATGCGAAAATTTGTTCTTAGGATTACAACAAATCAAATATAATATTTTTGTTATCACCAACAAAATGATAGCGAAGTGGCATTCGCTACGGTCAACATGTCAAATGTAATAAAATCAAAATAAAATCTTGTTATCAGGTCGATGAAATTTTTCAATTTTTCTTTTTCACGCTCATTCGCCGTGAGAATCTTTTCCAAATAAGTCGGTTACACTCCGTCAGACAGCGTTATTCCGGTGTATCTCAGTAGCGGAATTAATTTCATGTTTTCTGGTTAAAACTGTTTGTAATTCCGGTAAAGCTTTCGACATTTAAGATAACGAGGGGAGCGTTATGGAACATTTTAGAGTAACCATTCTGTTTTGGCAGCCGCGAGTGAAATATTAAACTTGAGAAACGAGGAACAAATAAAACATATAGGCATTATATGTAAAGCACTGTAGACATCGGTAGCGAAATTGAAAATACTGAAAAATGGTCTCTTCCCGATCAAAGTCAGCTGGCACTTGTTTCTCAGCGAAAGCCATTTTAAAACGGGACATTTAAAGGCTCCAGGTTTTAGAAATATTAGATTTTGGAAAAATCAACAAGTAGAGCTTTCTCTCACTTGAAATTTTCGGAATTTATTTATTCATCTGATTTTGATAATCTAATTCTGGAAATTGAAACAATCACTGAATATTCTTGGCGGCTCAAGATAGTGGTGCTAATAAACAGAATTTATTTATTGCATAACAACTTAATTGGAATATCTTTAATGCCTTTTACGCTCGGATTTGTAGCACGCGCGGTAGAGGTTTAATTAATTTCTTTGCCCGAGTCCTTTCCGCCTTCCATCTCGGCTCCTTCAATTCTCCGAGGTTAAATCGATGGTTTTCGAAGTTTTTGAGTTCGCAGTAATAGGTTTTGCCAAGGGCCATAATAGGACTCTTGGTGTTGCCTTCTAAAAAAATTGAAATATTAAGACTGAGTACAACAAAAGATACGGTGTACTGCTGCAAGTTGTAATCGCACTTTGTAATACCTGTCGCAATTTGCAGTAAACCGTATCGCACTTTGGAATAAAACTAAAAGCTGTCGCAATTTGTAATAACTGGCCATCGCACTTTGTAATAAACTAAGCTGTCGCAATTTGTACTAATTCCATCGCACCCTGTAATAATATTTTGAGAGTTATTAAACTTACTTCGTCAATGCCAAAATACGCATGGCACTTCATAAACAAAGATGATGACGTCTGCTAGCACGTACGTAACATCTCCGCTCATTCAAACCATTGAACTTTATTCACAGTCCTAAACATTTTTTTAAAATTAATGTTGATTAGTTATCTGACTTACGAAATGCTGTATTCTTAAACCTTGCTATTGTACCAGGTGGTTTGCATTCAATGGTTACCCGGCGGGTGTACTTCCTTATATGGCCAAAACGGGTACGTACCTCTGGACAGAGCATTGTCAGAGTACAGGATCTAGAGACACTTGACACAAACGAGCCATTGTTAAAAAGCATTTAATTTTCGCAAATTCGTAACATCCATCCTACATCGTTCGAATAAGGACACCAGGAAAGTTCAAGCTTTCCTTGTTAGATCTTATAACAGGTCGACACAACACGTGGTGCACCGTCCTTGTCTAACGCGCAATCTTAAAGAAGTAATAGTAGCTTCCATATTTTGGCCAAGTTAATCAAATGAGGCCTGGAAAGATTCAAACTGTTCACTGCAAATGAACAAAAAATGTCACCAGTGGCAAACCGTCGAAGCACAACAGAAACATAACCACAAAATCCAATTAGTCGCTGGCCAATACCTTGGTATGTATCTGTTTTTATAAAACTCACTTGGGGTCTTAACTGAGCCGGCTGGCCATTTGGTCCATTATTCTCACTTGATTTGGTCCCATTTCAAGGAACAAAAGGAGTACTCGTTCCATCTTAAAAAATTTTTTTCTTTATGGAGTCCTCTAAAGCAAATACCATGGCGATAGTAAAAATTCTTCTTCCCTGCGTATATACAATACGTTAGACCTTGCAATTCTTCCGAGCGTGTTCAGGATTACTTTTTTTCCCCACAAAATGGAAAGGATGGGATAAACCAACCATTACTACTTGAGTTACCCTATCTAAGGATCAAACCAAAGACGCAAGGACAACAAGATAAAAAATGATACCCTATTAAAGGCTCGAGATCCTTAAAAACCATAACCTATCCGGCCGGTACTTACCTATCTACCCCCTACGAAGACTTCACGTGTCACGTGGCATGCAGACATGGATTTAGACGACGAATGCCAGGTTATTCATGAATTTTCTGTTGTTAAATGTTGCTTTTGTTATTTAAATATTTTTGAATTCAAACATGATTCATATCTCTTTGGTGATGTAGCAGGAAGTTTCATATCTTTCATAAAAGCGATTCTAGTTGGTCACGTGATTAATCAAGGCAAAAAAATTTATAGCGGAAGATATGGATGTTTGACCAAAGAAAATGTTACGGAGATGTTACGTGCTAGCAGACCTCATTATCTTTGTTTATAAAGTACCATGCATATTTTTGCATTATATTAATGTTGACGAAGTAAGTTGAATAACTCTCAAAAACTTATCACAAAGTGCGATGGAATTATTGACAGCTTAGCAAATTGCGATGGACAGTTATTACAAATTGCGACAGCTTTTTTATTACAAAGTGCGATACGGTTTATTACAAATTGTGAGAGGTATTACAAAGTGCGATGGATTTATTACAAACTGCGACAGTACATACGGTAATACTAAATGATAATGAACACTGCTAATCTGACGGCTGGGTATATGTTTTGATAAAAAAAGCTTTCATATTAAAAATGTTTAATCTGATTACTATACTCATTTTTAAACATTTTAAATCATCTTCATTTAAGGTAACTTCAACAAAACGTTAACCATATTCAAAAAAATCACTTTGGCGCAGTTTCGATTTGGAGAACATCCACCCCTCTTTAAAAACGCATTAGTTGGATCACTTAAAATCTCACGAATCTGGAAGGGAATCGCTTTATTACAACAACTACATAAACTGATATGTCAGTTAACGAAGACATTACCGCATCAATTAGCTTAATTATAGATAACCCTTTTTCATCGATGCTAGATTTCTCTCATTTTTCAGGACTAGATAAAAATGAAGCCGATTTGAAACCATCGAATTAGCGAGGCAATCATTGGGCTGTTGATTACCTTCTAGGGAAACGACTTTCATATACTTTTCATTTTGTTCCGTTTTATGCACCAATGCCCTTTTACACTCATGGACGCGAATGTTTGTCCACTCATAGAAAACTGGTGTTCACCTATCCCGCAGAGGTATTACAAAGTGCGATGGATTTATTACAAACTGCGACAGTACATACGGTAATACTAAATGATAATGAACACTGCTAATCTGACGGCTGGGTATATGTTTTGATAAAAAAAGCTTTCATATTAAAAATGTTTAATCTGATTACTATACTCATTTTTAAACATTTTAAATCATCTTCATTTAAGGTAACTTCAACAAAACGTTAACCATATTCAAAAAAATCACTTTGGCGCAGTTTCGATTTGGAGAACATCCACCCCTCTTTAAAAACGCATTAGTTGGATCACTTAAAATCTCACGAATCTGGAAGGGAATCGCTTTATTACAACAACTACATAAACTGATATGTCAGTTAACGAAGACATTACCGCATCAATTAGCTTAATTATAGATAACCCTTTTTCATCGATGCTAGATTTCTCTCATTTTTCAGGACTAGATAAAAATGAAGCCGATTTGAAACCATCGAATTAGCGAGGCAATCATTGGGCTGTTGATTACCTTCTAGGGAAACGACTTTCATATACTTTTCATTTTGTTCCGTTTTATGCACCAATGCCCTTTTACACTCATGGACGCGAATGTTTGTCCACTCATAGAAAACTGGTGTTCACCTATCCCGCGAGCAAGTCCCCCACGAGGGGGAGCCGCAAGAAGTCACGTGTTCTTTTGGGCGGCTCGCTTCGCTCGCCACAAGGAATGGAGAGCTTGCTCGCAGGCTAATTTCGGCCTTGTAGAAAGCACTGCATGAAATAAGGTGGAAAAGACCGCTTTTCCTTATGCCTTTTCATTACACATGGTCTTTCGTCAGGTATCGCTTGTTTTTGCTTTTTGTAAAAAGTGAATACAACTTAGTCGTGGTCCAGATATTGGTTAAAAATGCGCAAAGGAACCTTAAACGCAAGTCAGCTGAATTACACCTTTAATGTAGACGTCATACAAAGACTCGATATCAGCTGCATGCTTTGATTTCTTTTTTTCTTAAACCAACGTTTTCCCATGTAATACGCGAATAAAGGCCGAGTGAACAAAGGCACTTTTCTTCCGGAGCATTAGAATTAAAGACAGACTGAAGAACAGCAAAGAACAATTCCAGATGTCCGTTTAGGGAGAGTAAAAGGCGAGGGAAATTATTAGAATTTTACAAAACGCAAGTGAAATTATTTCCTTATTTCAGGAGTTTATTTACCATTTGATTACACATACATATAATATATTACTACAAAAAATTGTCTCTTAATGAGCTATAGCGTCAACCATGTTGTGTGTAAGTCCGTTCATTTTTTCATCCTTACCAAGTCAAAACAGATCAATAATGGAGGAACCTAGAATTTGCTTTTGACAGTTGGTTAGCCCTGAAAGCTTTTAAGGGGTCAATGTGGCTGATTAGTTCAATTACCAGGCAATGATATTTAGCCAGACGCATGAGTGGTATTCCTGCGCCACCCCACTCATACTCTGCGTCTTAAAAAAGATGGTTCGCCTGTACAGGCCTTTTGCTCTCAGACAGGGCACCCCCGAAAACAGAAGGGTAACATGCAATTTATTGCCCTTAGGGATCAGCAAAAACTTGCCCGCCAATTCTGTCGGCCCAATAACACTTGTCTCAGTCCTTACAGATGCCCGGAAGGGGATCAATGCATCCGTGGGTCAAAATCCAAATTGTAAACAGAGAAAAAACTAAACTAAACCAGTTATTACAATGACACTCCCTAATGTGGGATGGGACGGGTTGAAAAGCAAAGCTTATTTAGAGGGTACAAGAACTAATGGGATGCTAAAAAACAACCGGAATTAACTTTATTTGATGTTCCGATGTACCCAACATAAAAAAGAATAAGAAAACGTTTAAAAAATCAGTGAGATTTGAATTTATTAGATGGCATTCATGCGTACTTGATTTTATCAATGCAAATGTGCTAAGATAATAAAGAGCTGGAGAGAAACCACACCGAGCGAGTATTCTTAACAGGTAGGACTACTTTTAACTTTCGAATCCTAAGTAACGGGCGTAGCAAGCGTTTTAAAGCAAGCGTTTACTATCGAGATTGTGTGCATGTTAAGTTGAGGGGAGAGCCGCGAACGCAGAGTATAAGCAAAGAACTAAAAAAACCCCTGAACATCATAATCCACGCCGCTTAACTTGCAGTCCAACGCAGAATGATCGCCATGATCGCCCCGATCGCTGATCGTACTTGATTCAGGAAACTGTCAACTGGATTAATCTGTTGCAAATGAAAACTCTTGAGGAAGATACAATCATACAATCACCGATCCACTGGTATATGTTGGTATTGGGTGTATATATCTAGATCTGGCAACCAAGGTGTGAAAAGTAGTTGTCTGACGCCTCTATCTTATCGTTCTTGCATGTTTTGGACTTAAGTCCACACTAAAATCATTTCGAAATCGCGAAGTTTATGGAAACGAAAAGTTTTCGAGAAACGGGGCTCTTTACAACGGTCTGTTCACGGTTCGGGAAAATGGAAAGCGCAAAACTCCTGGCTGGCAAATTTCATTCCGAAATCGCGTTTACCACTGATAGGCACCGAAAAACAGTCGCGTAAACCTGAAAGTGGAATCAAAGGTAGCTCTGAAGAAAGTGAACACGAATTTCCGTTTGGAACATTCCGTCCGGAAAAAGAGGACTAACTTGTTAGATGTTCCGTTGCTCCCGAAAATTTTCCATGGGAACGACCCGAATTTACTTCCCAACAAGAATTTCAGGAAACTTTTGGCAAGTGGAAAGTGCACACCTTCTCGAAAGCGGAGTCTTGTAAAAACGGAGTTCCAGTGTTTCAACCTCATCCCCAGGGAAAAGTCCTAGGGACGAGGTTGCGAGAGCTTTACGTCATAACTTCTTATGCGCGACTCAGTTTCTAGCGAAAGAAAACGGTATCAGGCGTTTTCAACAGAGAGCTTTAGAGTCTGTGACGGGGAAGACCACGAGTACGAGATTTTCTTAGTATAAGTAGTACTCGTGCGTGAGCCTTCGTCGTTTTGGCGGGAAAACGTGATAGCCATCGTCATTCTACTCCGAGTTTTAGCGAGAGTGTCGTAGTGACGGGAACAAGTTATCAAATTTGAGAAGTTTAAGCATTTTGCGATCGGGAAAGGGCTAAACCTTCTCCAATAAATATAACAGCACTAATATTTTCAAAAATAGTACAATGAAGCTTTTTGGCATATATTAGGGAGTGCCTCCTGAGTCCTCCACAGGCTTTGATAAATAGTACCATGTGAAAGTATTGCCAAACAATGGGTTTTCATTTGAATGGTCACACCATAGGATTTCATCCACTTACTCAAACGTTAGAACTACATACTAAATAAATAGTACCAGGTTTCATTTGGTTTCATTTAGTCGAGAGACACAAAAGTTGGAGGTTTAACGACAGTTTGGAGAGCTGAGATAGAACGTCACCTGTCACTGTTGTGTCCTTGAGAAGATTAATTTTGGTCGCTGCTGGTTTTGAGGACAGCTGTGTGTTTTTCTCTCACTTTTCTTTTCGGTTCTCTTCTGTTTAAGCAAAGATCGAGAGCGGACTCGAGGCGACTGTCAATGTGCGTTGAAAGAATTATTGACAGCCACTATTTTGCCCGCATTTCTGACCCTCACGTGATATTGCATGGCACCGCTGAAGACATCTGCCCATTTTTTCTACGTGTAATTCGGCATGGTTTGCACATGTCTGCTTACAACCTCTTTTTATTTTTTAATCAAACTTAAACTAGGAACGTGACAAATTTTAAATTCAATTGATTAAGTGTGTAAAAAAGATTGTCATAAACGTTGTTGTTATTATTTCCGATGTATTTTAATTGTTTCTTTGTCTTAGTTAGGTACGTGACCTCCTTGGTTTTTAACCACATAAATGAAAATGTTCGAGAATATGTTTTATTATCGTAATTTTTGCCGTGTCATCTCTCTGTTGCATGGTTTTAATTACGAAAACATCTTTTTAATCCACTGTCACATATTCTTAAAAAAAAAAGAGATTATTCATGGCCTTTTTAAAGTCGACTGTTTGCTTAAAGTTAATTTCTTAGAGTGCCGTTTCCCCCGAACTTATGCATCTAAACTGCTTTTGTAAAGAACTGTTTCTCGCAGCGAATTGAACACTATATTTAAATAACTCAATTTGATGGCTTCCTTGAACAAATAGGAAAATAAGGTAACTCACAATACCAACACAACTAAGACAACATCGGATGATATTATATTGAAATGGACTCAGTTTATTCACGTGCAGGATAGATCATGTTTTGCCATAGTAGGAGTGATTTTCCTTTACTTATTCTTGTTTTATTAATTTACACAAAAATAATAGAAATTAGCTTGTTGTTGTTTCATGCTTTGTAGCCTGCGGCAAAATGAATTTCAAAATTGGTTTCTAGCACAGGGGAGTCAATTTCCATGATCACGTGTGGGAGCTATTGTCACGTGACTCGATCACGAGACGAAACAGATGTATATTAGTAGCAAACTTAGACCGATGAGAGCCGGGGGTACTGATATCACTTCAACAACTGAAAGTTGAATGCTGATCACCTTAATTATTGTTAAGAATTGTTATCAATTTTGTCCTTTAAATATTGAAGTTCTATGTAAAAAAAGCTACATCATTTCAACCTCCCATCCCAGTCTTACCATAATCTTACCGCAATCAATCCTCCCTTGCCCCGCCCGACAGGCTCCTGCTACCACTAAGTTTAGTCCAACTGCCCAAGTCACATGCGCACAATGACCGGCGTTTGAAAGCGATCAAGCGACGTACAAACAGTAAGTACTTACCGTACCTTGATCGTTTTGTTATTGTTTTCGTCCTCACCGTCTGGTACGTATTAATGTGGTTTAATAAGATTTTTAATGTTCTACTCAGTGCCAAAAAGTTGATGTCACATTTGACCTCTACCTTCCCATAACAACGGCCAGCTCGAAATCTGCAACGAATCCTCATTATAAAGACTTAAACACCCAGGACATCGAATTTAAATTTCTCAGTCCCAATAGTGGGCAAAGAAGAAGGTCATCAAAAGTCCCCTAAAAGCCCCCTAAATAAATCGTAACGTACAAAAGTTCTGTTGGGAAGGGTTTCATTTGAATGGCAAAGCCATAGCATTTTATCCACAAATTTGAAGTTCTACTGAGTGACAAATAGTTTCCCAATAATGTGGTGCTTTTTGAAAGTGAAAAAGTTCAGCTTTCAGGGAGAAATTTAATTTCAGTGTAGATCCTTTAAATGAAAACTGCAGAGCATTTATTTTCAGGCTCCTGTGAAACCAAACAGTGTTTACAATGCTGAAAAGTCTTTTTATGCGTATTTGGTAAAAACCTTTATGATAGGCTGTACAATGAGGTTTAACGTTTGAGTCTGTGTAAACGAACTACTGTGGCATTTTTTAATTGTATTGTGCAAGGTGACTTTATTCAGGCTGTAGATCTAGATGAAATCACATTGCGTGCCATTCAAACTTGAAGAGGAGGACCACTTTTAAAAGGTACCCTTTTCTGACTTGATGTAATCAGTTGGGTTCTTTGAACCTATAACCCCGTTTATCAGACGGTCCGAAGTAGCTGACGATCGACTCAGTCGACCATCTGAAAACAAGGCTATGTACGTCTTCAGGCAACCTTACTTCATCAAGTGTACTGTCATTGTATTTAACAAGGAAAGTATATACTACGATAATTCTCCAGCATGAGACAAGACTACCTTTTCTAGCTGGGTAGTAATCCGGACGACTCGAAAGTTTAGCCTCTGTCCAGCCGTTTTCAGGGAAAAAGAAGTAGGATATTTAATCATGCATATAAATGCGACCGTCTAGGGTAATGCCGGTGCAGTATTTTCTTGAGGGGATCCAGCTGTACCCAGCTCCTTGTTTTGATAGTGCGCGGGAAGTAATCTTCAAGTACCCTATTGAAATAATATCTAGAAAGGGATACTGCTTTGCCCTCTATAAAGGATCTACAATCAGTCAACTCAAAATAGATCTTACATGAGGTCTGATATGACCTCGACCTCAAGTAATACCTAAGGCGTTTATTTAATTTTTTTTTGCAATGACTCGACAATTTGTTATCATCTATTTTCTCCTAACACAATCCTGATGTCGCAGCTTGGAAAAAATAGACAGGAATCAGCCACAAATGAAGCTTTTCTGTACAATGTGGTATTTTCTGTTTTCGCTCTCAATTAAACTCCTCAGTCTAGAGTTTGTCTGTTTCGATGTGTCGACCATTCAAACGAAGAGTGACTAGTCTTTTTGGAGGCATTTTTTGTTTACTATATACTGTATTAAATGATTAAAGGTTTGAGTCCTTTCATTTTGTGGAGAAATCCTTTAAAAGTGTAAATATTCAAATATTTTTGAGCTGTTGATGAACGGTTCGGAATAGCGTGACCATTTTGAGAGTATATCTCTCCTGTCATGGCCGTTTGTCAGTAGTATTCAGCCTGCGCACTCAATGCTTAAATGTCGTCGCCTTTAAAGGCTTGAAAGCTACTGATGACCAATTCACTTCAGTCAGCGGAAGTAATTTTTACTTTATTAGGTCTAACCCAGGGTGTAGTTATTCCGAAAAAGACAATGAAACATAGGCACTTTCCTGTGATGATTTTTTCCTATACAAGGTGGTTTTGAAGTCAATCTCTTGAGTCACTTGACTTTGAGGATTTATATTCAATTCGTAAAATGTGTATCCATTTGTTTGAAATGAAAAGCGTCAAAGCTTTTTTCGAGCATTCAAGTGGCTTTTTATGGTTTTTGGTCGGAAAATGTATCTTTAGATATCTTCATTATCTCCAATTGCAAGTAACCTCTTCTTTAATTTTAGCTAAATTTGGCCAGTTAATAAGTCCGTTTAGGGCGTGGTACTCGTTAGAAGGAAAGTCTACACCTGGGCGTCGATTGACCTTCATCAACAACTTATACTACTTTACATATAAGGGTCGATGCTTTTAAAATGTAAATACGCAAGGCATTTTTACCCATGCTGTGTTTTTTAAGTTTCTTTTGTTTACTCCCACGTGTTCGAATAAATATCACTAATGATAACAGTCGAGTGTAAATGACAAATATGACAATCGATGTTTTGCATTTTTTTCATTTCCTTTAAAGCAAAGGAACCTTGAAAACGACACCGCGAGCTATTATTGAATATATGTGGGATGTAAAGCAAAGTGGAGGATTAAAATGCATAAACGTTGATGCTGAATTACAGAACTTGACACGTATCACCTTAACGTGTAAAGATAAGAAAAGAAAACCGTCCCCTTCTACTGAAAACCAATGACAGGATTTCACGACTGTCATCTCTTAATGCTTGGCAGTAAGGGATAATGAGCTATAGAAAACCTCCCTTGTCATTCTTCATAAAAGAATAATGGGTACGCCGTATTCGCCTTGTAAAGTAAATTATCATGTCTCCAATTAAAAACAGCTCAAGAGATTCCCACTTCTGGGATTTCGCAATTTGCCGAGAGGACCACGTAGCTCTTCTGGAGAAGCAGAATAGTCACGATCATGTTGCTTTGTTTTTTTAGAAAATACCTTGGTTATTTTTTTTTTCAAACTGAATTGAACAGGAAAAAGTTGATTGAATGCCCTTTTCGTAATATTGCTTTTGAGTTTATCTGTGCATCCTACTCGCAATCTTTCTTAATGTTCGAGCCTCTTTAAAGGTGTAGATAAGAGTGGCTCTTTTTATTTCAAAACCAGCCAGTGAATGGAACAATTACTAAGCCAAAATGCCCAGTTTTCTTTGCCAGTTATTGTGGGGAGTTAAGGGAAATGGCTTTAACCTCAAAGCAAATGGCTGATTCTTGATCTGGCTTATCACAGTTATCAGTCATCAATAGCTTTCCCTTTTAAGCTCTAGCATTTCACTATTGACTGTCAGTTTTGCTTAATCAATTTCTGTTCAAAATGTTGAATTTTCATTCCCTATTGTAGTCTATAGCAGATTGATATACCCGAATTTTATATCCTCGTTTGCTTTTAAGAAAATAACTCCTTGATTCTACAAGCGAGGAAAAGCTAATCCAACGTAAAAGGGTTATTTGCTGTTATCTTATCGTTCATTCAGGAAGCATAATCGCCGAGAGCCGAGATTGAATGATATTCAGATCTGTATTTTCTTAGACAAAATCCCTCACTTGAGGGAAGGACTAAGAACAGCGTATTACTTTGTTGATTAATACTGGCATTTTGAAAAAAAAAATATTTATAAGGTATGGCCCAAAATTTTGAAATGAAAAACTATAAAGATATATTCAAGATAGTACATCGTTTTGAGAAAGCCTTTAGAATACCAGCTGCATTGCATTTGGATCTATTGCAAACACTTTTCCCTAAAGAAGAATTCGGTTCATGCTGTGATCCCTGCATCTCGAGTTTCGTGATGAAAGTGCCAAAAATTGCATGGTCGATGTTTACTTTTCCTCTAAGAGTGTAGATCAGAGTCGGAATAATTCATGAGAAAAAATAATTTGTCTCCGCTAGAGGAAACTGTATTTCCTCTTCTACGTAAATTGGTGTGACAAGTGTTAAAACGAAATACGGTTAAAAAATATGGTTATACGAGCACGCAATTTAGTTTTCGGGCTTCTCCCAGCTACTCATTACTCAAACAGATCCATGTTTAATACACGTTTTCAAACAATACGGCGACACCTGAAAAACGAGAAAAGCTTTTAAGGTTAGTATTTCTGTTTGTCTAAATAAATTTGTAATTACAAACTACATAAGATACAGATCACCTGAAATTATGGATTATCCCAACAGTATCAGCACGCACGATTTTCAATTTTTGACTGAACCTTATGAATGGTCGAGTGACACTGTTGTCAGAGAGCAAAATACTACGAACCGCGAATGAACAGGGAGAAATTGCAACTTGATCATGACAAGCGCGCATGACAATATCGTGGGGCACGCGTCATACTACCAAAACGGCATCGAGTATTTACTGTTTGGCGAGTGTTTTTCTCCTCCTAAAGATATTTTTTCTGGACAGTTGGCCTTTCAAAAAAGCCAGTATTCGACCGCGGCGATAATTTTAGCCTGTATTTCTCATCAAGAACATCAATTATAAATGGCATGAACACCGCGGGAAGAATTATGGAGATAAACAACACGAATTGTACATTATCATCACAACGACACTTTCTTTTATGACCAGTTTTTCGGGCAATATTTTTAATTGGATGTCAAGAAAAAGCCAGAAGAAGCTTCAGCCTTTGTTCAAGAAGAGAGTATAACTCTCCTAGAATAGCTCGAGTCTTTCACAAGCGAACTGAATTTAATGTTGAAATAAATTAAGCGATCGTATCTACGATGTGTATTTTTTCCAATTCCTTCCACAAGCCGGCGGCGCTTTGCCACCAACTGGGATACGAAGTGAAGATTTTGGAGAGAATAAATGACTTTGAAATGTCGGAAAGCAGTTTTTACTATTGCTAAACCAAATATTCAATTGAAAGTACATATTCCCCTACAACCACTTCGTTCTGCGATTAGCCAATCACAATCCTGGAAAGATATCGACAGCTGGTGTTGGCATTTTCCGCGGGAAAATCACCCTGGCGTAAAATTTTGCGTGACAACTGATGTTGTATACTTCGCTTTTTCCTTTTTGTAAAGCAAACAGTAAAAGAGACCATTGAAACCTGGAGTCATTCTTATTTTAATCACAGCCGAACTAATGTATTAGCTCGACTGAGGGTGCTTAAGTGGAAACTGTTTGAAGGAAATCATATAAACTTAATGAGCTTTTGCATATTTTAATAGACGCAAATTTTCTTTAAAACTTTTGTTTGAATGGTCTTAAATAAAAATTGCTTTCTGAAAAGAACTAAACGATCATTTTTTTCGCCGAAATGAGGGTCGGTAGAGGGACAGTAACTTTGTTTTTGAGTGTGGCGTTTGTGGCTGCGTTATCATTAAACAGGTCCCTTGTTGATGTTTTAAAAGGGCATTTCATTGATGAATGAAAATGCATGGGTGGATGTCGCCCCGAAACCGCAATATTTGAACGAACACGTGTTTTTGTACGCATTGTATTCGCAGCTTTTCACTAACTCCTATAGGCTAAAATTATTTTAATTAATGGGCGTCTTTCTCAGTCTTAAGAAAATTACTACGGACCACTCGCTTTTGAAACACTTTCGTCTTCCTCTTCATTGAAACCAATAGCAAGTAAAACCTCTTTTGTTTTCGAATGACCAAACAACAAAACTAGCGTGGAACCGCCATGGTGCAAAGCTCGACTCTGACATAGTGATTGCGAGTCAAATTCTCCCAATATAAACCTTGTCAAATAATGCAAATGGACCAATCAGAGCCCAGCTAATTTGCATCGCTGTAATTAGAATGCTTACTCCACCACAACTGGTGTTGTTGGTGAATAGTGTGGACCAAGAGAGTTGTAGAAGGATTTTGTTGGTAATTTTTCTCCGCTCTCGTCTCGTTGGGATGGCTAAAACGTCGAGACTGAAATAAATACATCATCTTCTTTCTTCCTGTAGGTTTTTGGGATAAAATGGCTTCACAGCCACCCCAGAGACCACGTCGAAATGCGTCGCCTGCATCAAGCTCAAAACTACAACCTATAAAGGCGACTTTCCCGTTCTCGCTGATAGCTCATGGCAATCCAAGTCCCACTCGTGGGAATGGGCTGCGAAGACCAAGTCCATCTTCTTCACCGGTCCATGGCAGTGAAAATGGTCTCAAACACCGCAGAAGTTCGCCAGAAACACGTGGATCTCCCGAGCATCGACGGAGTCCATCTTCTCCGTCTTCTTCGTCCAGCTCGAAAGGTTAGCTGAGTGACGTGCTTTTGAAATAAACCCTTTAGACGGGAAATTAACCTTCGAAGAGTCGCAATTTATAGCCAATAAATTCTTGACCCGGATGCCAAGGATAAATCCTTATTTCTAGGTTCACTATGGTACGCCGTCCAATTTCGCTTTTCATCTGTCGGTCATCTTTTCGCTGTTCAACGTATTGACCTATTCTGAAAGCCATTTCCGTTGTTTCAAAACAGTTTAGGTCGAGCTTAGTTGACAATTGATAAAGAAGTTATATCATTTTGTTCGCAGGTGAAAGAAGCAAAATTACAAAAAGTAATTCAGTTTCCTCAATAAGAAGGACCTCGTCATTAGACGCCATTTCTCCTTATATGAGTGGACAGTGGCCGAAAGAGGTTGGAAGTTACGGGCCGAGTATGTGCCACAAATCAACACAGGTTAGTTAGGTACCGCGCTATTAATAAAACATTTCTTAAAAACTGCAAAATCTAGGCTAATTTGGAGTAAGAAAAGCAGATACAAGTAATTCACAAAGGAATAAACTAAGCTTAAGTAAATTTAATTGCCTTTTGGTTCACTTATTGAATCTCGGCCATGACAACGAGTTTAATTCCCAAGCAACTCTGAAATTTGATGATCTAAGCTGTAAATTAAGTTTGTTTTAACTCGCATGATGGAGTCCGCTTGACAGGGAACATTGAACAAATCTTAACCAGCAAAGCAAAGTCAAATCTATTGGCTGTATAATTGTAGGAAAGTTTATTGAAGGTTTTTTTACAATCAGCTTGATTTAGGGGTCAAAGAATCATCAGTAAAAGTTTTTCATGTTTATTGTAACTGGTACTTGCAGTTCTGGCTGTGTTAAGATGCTGCAGTAGCAGAATGGTGGAAAAATTATACTCTGCTTCCTAAAAGTTTGATGAGGAGCAGTGTTACCTGGATATTACAAAGGAACGTACTGATGATATTTGGATAATGACTGAGCCTTCTCCCCCTTCTTCGCTGCCCTACCCATCCCACCCTGCAAGTGTAAATCCTGTTTATCATGCTCCTGTTTTGGAAATATAAAATGCATGTTTTTGAAAGGGAGTCCTTGAGAAAATTTATGAAGGTAGTTGAAAGTGGCTGAATGATTCAGACTCTGCGGACTTGTTTACTTGGCCTGTTTTCTTTTGTTCAAGTTTGACTTGGTCTAGTGAAGATAGGGTGGGGTAATCAATGAATGTGAAACAATCATGGCTTGTTTTTCATTTAAAATATCTGCCTCGTTATTTCATTAAATAAGATTATGGACACTTTTTTTCATCCACTGGTTCTAGAGAAAGACATATTATGGTCAGAGCTCTGGGGGACAGCAAAGCAAGGTTGCTGTAACAGTATCCCATATGTGCAAATCAACTTGTAAATTACAGCGTAACAGGGTACATGCAGAATCCTCAATGTAGGCTGTCAGCTCTTGAAATAAACCAGAAACTTAAAACTCTTTTATTTATGAGATGTTGCAATGATTGGCTTGTTAAAAAAGTCATTGTTAAAACAGGGTCAGGTGAAATTCAAAATGCATTTCCTGTAATTTGTTGAGTTTGTTGGTGACCGAGAACAAGATGTTACTTGCCAGCTTTAGATAACATCTGTGATGCAGGGTAGACAAAATTCAAATTTTAGTGACTTTGAGTTGTATTGTTGTGTAGACGCCAGCTTGGGAAGAGAGTGAAATCGAAGAAAATTTTGGAACAAGGCACAAGAGATCGAACTCTTTGGGAAGTGCAGACCAGAAAATAAAAGAGGTAACTGATGCACTGAACTAGTTATGAGCTAAACATACTGTCAAATAATGGAATGTAGAATTAACCCTGAGTAAATTTGCTAAGTGCTGATGCTCCCTTGGAGCGTTAGGCCTGGTATAGGGAAAGCCCTTATTAATGTATATGTTGGACAAGCAAATTTCACCACCAAGCCTAGTTTTGAAAATTGTAAGTTGCGAAGTTTTGGGTTAGTGAATTCCCAAGGCAGTTTGGTTGAAAAGAAAACCCAGGTACAAAGAGTGTAAATGCTAAGAATTTTGCTTACAAACAAGGCTTGATGGTTAGCCTGCGAAAACAGCCATTTGCCACTGGGGTCGTTTTGTGAGGAGTAACATCTATGACTCGGCTGATTCCATGCTGATGACGTAAATTCTGTTCAGAATCCGGTCAGAAGCGCTGATTGGTTGATGGAGTAGTTACATTGTTTTAGCTACTGTTTACGAACGACAGACAAAAGACAAAAGGCAACAGATGTCAAATATAAACTTGATGAATCTCTAACAAAACAGTAAATATTTGTAGAATATAGTCTTCTCTAGAAGAAGCATTGGATTTTTCTGGTGCTTGTTTGCAGATGAACACAACGCTTTACCAAAATCAACCAGGAAAAATGTAAAATTGAACAAGTTTGCATTTGGAACTTCATGACTACCGGATTTATTATGTGCACTGTAAATGTTGATTTATGTCATCAGTATGGAATTTCTGCTGCTGAGACGTAGACATTCCTCCACGCAAAACGTCCCCAGCGGCAAAGAGTGAGAAGAAACGGCTGTTTTTGCAGGCTACTTGGTGGTAGAATTTGCTCTTCTGTTAGAATCGTACACAATGGCCCTTAGGGAGTTGTGTAATGAAATAATGGTTGTTCATGTAGGTCACTGCAAATTAACAACCGTACATTGTGTCTTCAAATGTCTAGTAATAGTCAATTTTGATATTCCCCAATGGCCCTGGGATGAGAGACTTCTTAGTGCAAAGGTTAATGCGGGGAACTTCTTGGTGCAAACACAAACAAAATCAGTAAATGCCACTGAATTGCTGGAAACAATATAAATCATGAAAATTATAATATTTCAAAGTTCAAACCTTACCAGTAAGCTTAAGGGTTAACTGTTTCAAAGAACAAAACTGTGGGAAGAGCTTGTCATACCAAGAGAAAAATTAAAAAAATTGTGAATCCAAAAGAAGAATGAGCTTAGAAATGGTAAATTGTGTTGAAATATAAGTATTCAAATTCTTGTAATTTTCATACTTCTTTCTGATATTAAATGCTTGGTGATGTGCAGTATCTGATCACTGGAATGTTTGTTTTTCAGAAATTAAAACAACATTTGCAGCGCACAAAGCAAGGGAGTAAATCCAGTCAGACTTATGGGCGTCAATCTCCTCTCCATGGTGATCACACAGCCATTGCTGCAAGCAGACTTCCTCAGTCAATTCCCATATCAATCCCTTTAGCACCAAGGCAATCAGAGGGACCGCAGAAGCGAAGCCTGGAGGGGCTAAATTCTGAAATTCAGAAACTAGTCCTGACAGACACCCAGTCAGACAGAGTGAGTATTACAATAACGGAGTGATTTCTTGCATACTGATTGGTGGAGAGCTATTTTTTTTCAACTTTATTAGTAACTTTAGGGAAAAAATAATTGTACATAATTTGTTCAATACATGTGCACAACAATAGCCAGCAAAATACACTAATTACATTACATAGTGAAGTAAAAAGAAACCAAAAAAAAAACCTTTTTCTGTGTGCACAATATGTAAACGTTTTTTTGGTGGAGAGCTATGTTTGATAAGAGTACAGACCATGGAATTGCCTTGATGGTGGTGCAATTTGTTTTTCTCTTTCTCACACATGCGGTTTTTCCTGAAACCTAAACAGAAATGGACGTTAAAATTGTCAGTGTTATTGTAAAAAACACAAAGACAGCAATTTTCCATAGAAATGATGTCAAAATGTTCTAAACTTTGCGCTGAGTGAAACCGCTCGCTTGTAGCTCATGGTTTCCCCTAAGTTTTGAAGATTTAGATGCCATTTCTATGGTCGATAAAAGTACAGACCATCGATAATTGTTGTTGATTTTTTATTTATTGCATCTCTCGGTATAAGTACAGAGTTTTTCTTTTGAACCCAACCTGACCAACCTGACACTTTCTTCACAAAAGTCTGTCATACTACGTAAGTGAATAACCTAACATGTTACACAAAGGGTTTGTTCAGTTGGTATTGATATTGATTCAATTAATATTCCGGAATAAGAATATGCAAAAGTTTTGTTACAAAATGTCTGCTACTGTGATTTTTGGATCAATTAGATGCTCCATGAATCTTACCATTTTATTTTAAGCAGATTTCTCAATATTGTTGTGCACTGACTGTCAAAACAAGTGATTTCTAGAGTCAATTCCTTTTATTCTTATTCTGGATTATGGTCAATCGAACGTGCGAAAAGGAAGCCCTTTGTTTGATTGTATTGTCCCGGAGAAGGTATTGGATTAAGACAGTGAAGTATGTGAAGTATTTGACCTCCCTCCTGGCAAGTTTTGGCCTCTATAAACAGAAAATTTTTTTCCTCTAGGTAATTGATCATATACCAGATGGTCGAAGGGCCCCTGTTGCAGAGGTACTGTCACTGCCATTTCGTACCGTAGACATTCATACCCAGACAACAGCTGAGAGTCAAGATGCGCAAGACAGTGGGAGTGCAAACAGTAGCAGTAGAAGCCACTCCACATCACCAACATATCCTATAATGCCAGGGGCATCAGATTCAAGGCCATCTTCAAGGTGTTCCTCAGGAGGGGCTGGGGAGGCTGAGGAGAATGTGTCTCCTGAGCTTCCTGCTGTAGGGCCTAAGTATGCATCTTCTCCTAAACCCAACAACTCCTACATGTTTGCAAGAGAACCTCCTGATGGTGCAGAGAAGGTCACACTTCATGTTGAAGATGCTGACAGGTCAGTGCAGTATACATGACAAAGTATTAATTTCTTAGTAGGTATCAGTGCTGTCAATGGGAAGCTTAAGCAAAGCTGTTTTTGAGCGACCTACATCAACTGTATACCTAAATGCTACCAATATTGTATTGCTAATTGTCTTTACTCTTATCAAGATGATTTGTGTGAAGAATTTGGGTAAAGCCACTGCCCAAGAATGCAAAAAGTCCTCTTCAGGTTGATGTGAATCTCTTGAAAACATTAGGGCCATTTATACGAGGAAAAATAAGACGCGTCTTACACAAGACGTGTCTTAAATAAGACGCGAACTTTCTGTATAAACGGCACATTTCGTCTAAAATAAGACGCGGCTTAGCTAAGACGCGTCTTATTAGATAAGACATGCTCGTATAAATGGTACAGTTTGCATCTTATTTAAGACGCGTCTTATGTAAGATGCGTCTTATTTTTCCTCGTATAAATGGCCCTATTGTTGTTTAAAGTCCCTATTCAGAACCAGGCCCCGGGCTTCTATAAAAGTGCCCTTCAATTACTCTAACAAAAAACAGAAGAAAAATAGAACCAGAAGAAATCCCTAGCTGTTTAATTCCCTGCCTGTTTGTTGTATTCACGCGGAAACTTAAAATCTAAGTGACATTGGACCCTGATGTATCTTGAACTGCTTCCTACAATACCAGCCATTGCATCTGCATACATTGTATGGTCATGTTGTGAAAAAGTATGACCTAATTTGTAACAAGCATCACAGGATTTGTCCTTGGGTCCTAAGAGTTTGAATCTGTGCTCAGGTGACCTTTGGCATCCATTCATGATTAAACTCATCCATACATGATTAAACACATCCATACATGAACACAATCTTGATAACATTAAATTACAGTGATATACAGCGAAATAGGGTATCATTTTCCAAAGACCAGTAACATTTATATCCATAGCACTAGTTCAAATCGTCTTCACTTTAACTCTGTTACAAGACTCTTACCATGAAGGCCAAACATGGCAGCCAGTTGAAATTCTATTTTTTAGTGAGAAACCATGTAACCTTAGGTAACAATTGCAGCTTTAGGTTGTGTTTTTTTGTTGTTGTGGTCAAGCCAAGATACAGCTGACAGTGCCCTTGTGTTGGAAAATTAAGTAAAATAGAAAAATATTGATGCATCTGTTGGCAAACCTTGAACTCAATTCTTATTTCAAGACGTGAATAACATGCTCTGTGAAACCAATGGTGAATGATCTTTAAAAGATGATCTGTTTTTAGGGATTAATGGGCAACCAGAAAATGGTTTGTCACTTTATTAAAACGTATTTTCAAGGCCCAGGAAGACCAATAAACAACATATCAGGGCTGTTTTCATCAGTAAAATTAAGTGAAAGGTATCATTAGTGTCCCCTTCTTAATGAAAGGCAAAAATAATAATATAAGTTTTTTTGACCAGTTTTTATAGAGAGTGTAAGTTGTTTTTCTTCTTCTTTTTTTGCTGTTAAAGGGATGCAGCCAAATTGCTAGTTGGACCTGACAAGACAAAAGTAAAGATTATAAACATAAGTTCAAGATCAGCGTTCTCTGCATTTTCTGCACTACCTTCCTACCCCAAGATGGCCGTCCCTTCTCATGCAACAGCCAACCAGCAACTTCCACAAGTAGAGGCATCACAGTAATGTTCAGAACAGTGTAAAAGTGTGCAGTTGACTCTAAGATACATGTAGACACTGTTGAGACCACCACAAAGTGTTTGTTCAAGGGGGTAGACTGCCTTATAATGGTGGTAAGGGAGAAAGACTCATCAGCAGATGTTAGATGTTGTTTTCAGGAATTGTTGGTCTTATGGAAGTGTCTGCTAAAGGAGAATCTGCTGGACTAAATAAGGAGGTTGAAAACTGCCAAAGGTGGTGAAACCTTTCATCTGAGGTTCATGTACTTAAAAATATAATAATTTATTACTTGGTTTACATTCTGAAGAACAAAAACAGGTTCTCATTCATTGTTACAGTGAGCACTCCAGTTATCCCTCTTCTTTAAGATTATTGGTTCTGGTATGCCTAAATTATGAAAAACTCGTACTTTTTAGAAAGGTTTGCAGAGAATTGAGTGGTTGGGTCCGATTGTCTTCGTTTTGTGTTGCAAAAAGAAACAAGTGCTTAATATTATTTATACAAAAACAGATTTGTTTTTCTACTGGATTAAGACAGCTGTATTATATACACTTTGTTTTCCATGGTTACAGTGTAGTTGTGTTTGGGATATATGGCCAAGATGTCGATATTTATAGTGCCTTTTAGATTTCAATACAAGTACAACTTTTTATAGTGCTAGTGTAGTTGTCGAGCCAGTCATGTTGCTAAACTACTTTAAATACACCTTCCTCTGGCTGTCCAGCAAGCTGAGACTCAAGAAGCTCTGTCATGTATCTTTCAGGTTTTTCCTTTTCAATCCATTTTAATCTTCCCCATTCCACACCATCCTTAATTTATGTTTCACTTGAACCTCGTGTTGGTTCTCTTTTTACTAAAAAAAAGTACATTTTTCTTAAGATAAATTTTTGTTGCAAAATATTGACTTAAAATGTTGATAGAGATCTTTCAAGCCACAACTGTCTAGTTTTAGCTAAAGCAACAAACTCAGTTTGCCAACTCACACAGGTACACAAATCTTGTACTTGTATTCCAATCGAAAGGTTACCGTTGGAAAGAAAGATTTGAATGTCTGCCAACTGGCATATTCTGCAGCCAACTAGTGAGATTCTTGTGAAGTTATAGTTAGGTTGGAGGTGGATGGAGGTGAAAGAAGTTGGGTTAATGTGTATTGTAATTTCACAAATCCCTAAAAGTTTGCACTGTTATTTGTTTCACTGTATGCCAACCCGAATTCTTCCCCATAACATGTGTCTTACGACTTCCAGAAGGTTTTTGCCTGAGGGTAGTGTAATAGCAGCATTTTGTCATTACTTACATGACAACTGCTGTCATGTTAACACTGCAAGGGTAAAACTTTTTCTCTCAGAATACCCTTGATAGTGTAGAGCTCACAAAATGTTGTTTCTTTTTGTTTCATCTCTGATGTCAATTTTCCATGTCATTTTCCAGTGTCACCTTGTTTGTCTTGACAACCCCATTTTTAAGCCTCGCTCAATCTGTATTTATATATATATAAAGAAGTACCAGTAAAAAAAACCACTTAATGGATTGTTCTGAGGGAGGTTAGTGTTTGGTTCAAAGATTGTATAGTATGTTTATTCCATTATTGTATTGAGGAAGTGTATCATATTCATAAATATTTAGTGTAACTCAAGGAAACAAACCTTTCTATTATAACGTGAACAATTTAGGAGTTTTATATCAAAGAAAACTATTGTGACATTCATTGACTTAAATTCTTAATGTATACTACAGCTCTTGATGTAAATATTTTATGGATTAAGATGACTATATGATACTTGTATATTTTTACAGTTAAAGAAAATCAAAATCTGTTGTAGATTTATGCAACATTGAAGGCTGTTCAGATTTTGTGTACTGAGACTAGTTTAGATTGCATTGCATATCTTTTCTTTATCTTGACTTTTGACCTACTTGTACTGGCTGGTTCAGTCTAAGTTCAGCAGTTAATACTGACACTGGTAAAAAATATATGGAGTCTTGCAGACTGGCAGGTAAATAAGGTGTTTACTCTAAAACTTCCCAAGTCTGTGGATAGCTTTTGGTTAATTTATTTTTGCCACGACTGTGAGCAGCTTCTCTGGTTAGTTAGCCCACCAAGTGAAACATGTGAAAGATGAGAATGGCTACACGTGTGACCTCAGGCACCAAATGGGAGGGGCTTCTTCTAGGGCCTGCCATCCTGGCCCCTATGTGCTGGTACTACCATTGCACTATTAAACTTTACAGAAAAATAAGAGACTGCTCATTGGCTATTCACAGCAGCATTTCCTTTGTTTACCCGCCGGTATGCAGTCTGTATTTTGTTGCCACTGCCTTACAACTTTGTAATAGACCCTTGCTGCAAACAGAATCATACTTTCTGTGGCATTGAAAAATAAAGCTGACAAGAAAGTTGATGGGAAGTGCGGGGTAGCATATTTGAGGATATTTATTCAGTTAACAAATACAGGCAAAATAATAATAATATTAATAATAATAATAATAACAATAATAATAATAAGAAATAGCAAAGAGAAGTTTTAAGACAATCTAACATTATACTTCAATCATTTTGAAAATTGCAACTCAGTTGCTTGAAAAAAATTCCACTTACTCTGATCTTTGTTTACTGTGTACTTCCAAGCTGTCAGGTTCATTTTGTCAAATTGTGAATTTTTTATCTTCAGTTTGAGCAAGGGTCTATCCGCATGAAAAAGCGACAACTTTTTGCTAGTGGACGTTGTTTACCTCATATTTATAACTTCAATTTGGTAGTTGTTCTTCAAGATGTGTTCAAGTTGACAGTTAACCATTCCTTATGTATGGGTAATTTTCATATATTTACACGCGAAACAAAACTTGTCTTGGACCATTATATAGTGGTGTCAAGACATACCTTGTGCGCTCTCAGTATTTAAGGAGGGCATTCCTTGACGTAAATTTTGCTACAAACTTGTAACTCATTGTATTCTTAATAATACATACTCAGTACTAATAAAAATGAAAACAGAAATGTGATTGATGTTCCTAATACTGTCTTTCCCACTTTTGGGGGGGTTTATCAAGAAAGAAAGAAACAATGCGACGGTCTTTAAAATCTATGCTTTATAAAGAATAATCAGAACTCTTTAAACTTGACAGTGTAATAGGACATTATCGATCATGGCTAAGAAATACACCAAAATTTATACTTGGCTCTGAGGCTTGGAGGAATAAAAGAAAATAAAT